GATTCGGATACGGGATCGGGTTCCGATCGTTTTCGCTTGTTCTTGGGGCCTCCGAGGCCTTCATCGAGCCGGCGGAAGTCAAGGGTGCAGGCCATGGAGGCCGGCGTTGCTCAGGGTTAGGGTTTTTGTTTTGGAGGAAGAGAAGGAGACGTGAAATTGGGGTTTGGGTTTCGTAAGGGGATTGGAATGGGACTTTGGGCCTACGGCGTTGGGCCGGCGTGGAGCCTGGTATTAGGGTCCAAGTTATGCTGGGAAATTAAGTGGAGGCTTATTAGTTGGTGTAATATTCCCATAAATTAGATAAATTCGGGGATAATATTTTCTGACGTTATCAGTTAGCATAATGAGATTGGGGGTAATAATCAGGGGTGGTAAACGATCGGATCGAATCGAATACTAAGGTGTTCATGTTTGTATTTGTTTAAAATTATAGAATTCGAATGCGGACTCTAATATTCATATATCTAGTTTTTCGAATTCGAACTCGAATACTTGGTATTTGATAATTATTCATGAATATTCACGAATACTTATCGAATATCAAAGTATATTTATTTCGCTAAAGAGTTTGATTTTAAAATAGTATTAAAATTTATAAATAAAATTTATTCCTTTATAATATATGATGCATATATATTTAAATCAAAATTTTAATTAGAAAACTGATTTAAGGTTATTTAAGTCTTAAAATAAATATATAAAACTTAAGTAGAAATGGTAAGTGGGTTAAAAATATGACATCATATGTGCAATAATACAAATAATAAGTTGTGATCAAATTTTAAACGTGGTTAAATTCTATTCGTTAATAAACCTGAATACTAAAAAATATTTGTTTAGTGATAAATGAACTACCGAATCGAATATGACCGAATAGTTATTCGAATAATTATCGAACTATTTATTAATTATTTGGTTCGTTTCCACCCCTAGATAATACCTTTTGGTGTCATTAATTTTTTAAAATACTAGTAGGGTAATTACTACATATGGGATAAAAATTCCCACTAATATAGAAAAATGTTGCCCCCAAGTTAAAGTTTACCCCACCTCTCATTCTAGGACAATTTTAGACAAGTTGGATAATGTTAGAACATTCATATATTAGCGACCAATATATGTGCTATTCATATTAGATGTGAAATTATATATATAATTTAATTAAATAATAAATATTAGCTAAAATATTACATGATTAAATAATTTAAATAATTCACATCATTAACCCTGTTTTAAATATATTATATTGTAATATAATATCATATTTATTTTTAGTATGATGTATTACAATATAATATAATATAATTATAAGATATTATATGTTGTTCTGAAAAACTTGTTACTATGTTGTATTAATTATAATGTAATCTATTATAGATATTTTGAATATCCCTAGTAATTATCTTATAATATATCATAATAGTATAGTTTACTATAATATGTTACAATACAATCTATGATACTATATATTAGTTCTTATGTTTATTGCAAGAATAATTATAGCGTAATAAATAGAATGAGATGAAATGGTTAAAGTTTATAACATATATTTAATTTTTATATTAGTTCTTATGTTTATTGTAAGAATAATTATTGTGTAATAAATAGAATCAATTGAATGAATTTCAAACCATTATTAGAAATTATCAAAATTTGGAAGGGTAAAAGAGGCAATCAAAATATTAGTATTAATATAATATCATATTATCATCAATATTCTACAACATTATTACAAATATGTTGTTAATAAATATATTAATATTTTAAAATATATACCTAATTATATTCATTAATATATTAGACTTTACTAGTAATAAATAAAAGTATATAATTGTTTTATAATATAATAATATAATATTATGACATACTATTTTATTAGTATTGATTACAATATATTATCCTCTCAATAGTAAATTACTTTATTTCTTTTTAATTACTTTGCTTATGATATATTACTTGTTAAATAAATATATTAAAGGTATTATTATTTTATTATTTTCAAGGAGTTATTACATTATTATTAAATACATATTAGTAAAATAAAATAATTTTATTAGTATATTATATTTTTAATATAATATAATAAGATACAATATAATATGTTATTGTCAAAGTAATATTAATGTATACTACATTATTTATATAATAAATATGTATATGTTTTCTTACATTATTCATTATAATACTAATTTAATATATTTTATAGTTTTATATAATAATATTATACATCATCAGTTTTTCCTCATGCATTGTACTGATCACAATTCAAAATTATATCATTATCCCAAATTATCCCATTTGTCCTACCTAAATTGTCTCAGCAGTTTAAAATTATCCCGTTAGAATAACTATCCACTTGGCCTCATACTTTCTCAAAGGTTACCTAGTGATTTTTGTCTGGTGTTTTTCAACAGAAACACAACACTCTAGTGTTTTTTTTCTCCAAAAGTGCTTTCAAAATACCACGGTGAGAGTTTTTGGTCAATAGTAGTTTGCCCATTTACATTAGTTTTAAATATATTATTAATATATTACATATTAATTATAATATAATACATTTTACTTAATATTTATAATATTATTATCTTAAAAATATTTTATTATATATAAATATTAATTATAATAATATATATATTATAGTATAATGTATCATAATTATTATATGGTATTTATAGTATGTAATATAATATTATGACTATTATATATTAATTTCAAATATTAACATATTTAATTTTTTTTCATATATTACTTGTTGTTGTCTTTACGATCCGACATTCTGCATCAATAAAGGAACAAATTTTATCTTTTAGGGGAAATTCTCCCTGATATCTCTAGTCATGCTTTATTTTGTTTATGTGAACAATAGTTAAGAACCATATTTGTGCTTGCTTATAGTTCATATTTTTCTTATCAAACCGATAGAGGAAGACTTGAGAGGGTCTTAGTGAAAAATTGCCCGAGGGTTTGCCTTGTTAGGTGGTCCGTGTCTGGCCCTGTTTTGCCATGGTAGGCATAGTTTAGGCTTTAAACTGAACATAAAAACCGGCAAACAAATTTTATCTCTATAAGACTAAGGACACAAACCGGACTTGAGACACATATAAGAAAATTGAATTTTGTAAAGAAGCATAGGTTCTTTGTTACTTAGTAATGTAAACTAGGGGAAGCTGTGATCTAGCAGAGTAAGGGAGAACTTAGCCATGGATTCAATCAATGATTTTGAAAACCGTTATTATAAGGATAAACCTTATGAATATCTTGAGCATGTACATACAAATAAAGATAAAGTTCCAATGGAACATATAGCAAAAATTTTAAAATATATGTCTGACGAAGACCAACAATTAAATGAAAAGCAAACTAATCTAAATTCTTTAAATAAACAAATGATCAAGCAAATATTTGAATTCAAAAGATAAGAACACTCAAATCACTTCTTATAAAACAATCTCTTAGCAAAAAGGTTAGGTAAAGATGTCCACTAGGAGATATTTTGTATCAATGTGAATATGGGAACCATCTTACCTATATGCATAAACATGCCAAAGATAATGTCAAACAATTGTGTGTTTTATCCATAAGGATCAAAAAGTAATATGCTTAGGATAAAACGAACCATAACAAACTTGTATTATATTCGACAAGAAAACAAAAAGCTTGTTTCAACCCATATGAATACTTGGTAAACATCGATATGAAGACAATAAATTGGGCGGGGGGGTTTGCTTAAACATAAACCTCTCTTAAGTAAAATCAAAACAAAGAATATATCTAAAAATGATGATTGATCAATGAATAAAATCTTCTTTGTAAAATTTGATCAATCCATATAAAGAATACATTATAAAGCACAAATAGATGATTCACAAGCTCAAACACATAAATATCATCATAAAAGTGTTTTATAACGATTTCATAAGCACAAACACATTTCTCACACCAAAATAAATCAAAAACTACATAGTTCAAACCAAGACTACAAAACATTTAAGAATCCTGAACAGAGAGAGAGAGAGAATAATACATTCTTTTAAACATTTTAAAAATTGTTTGCAAAAATCTCAAATAAAAATCATCTATAAGAACATGAAAAACTAAAAGCTATAATTTTTTTTAAAGATCAAACATGTTTTGGTATCCGATTACTCTTGGTACCAAAGAGTCTAGGGACATGACCCCTATCATTAAAGCTCCAAGCCCTAGGGTTATGATCCCTTTTAGGCACATTTTGTGCACTAACACAATCAAAATAATATTCATGCAAATGACCCTTCCGATTGCGCGCAATAGGTGCAATGAAAACAATAAGGGTGTGCATGTAGAACATTTGCAAACAAATGTGATTTATTTGAAGCATTTTGCAAATGTAAAACATTATCAAACAAATATGGCCTATTCAAAAAATTTGGCAAGTTTGAACAATTTCTCAAATCAAAACAAAACTTTACCAAATGACCAAATCTACCACAAAAATCACATTTAAACTTATGTGGTCCTTTAGAAACATTTGGCAAATGTGAAACCTTTTTCAAATCAAAATAATATTTTGCCAAATGGCCAAAATGACCATAAATATCACATTAACACATGAGCATGCCTATGATGAACTTTATGAGTATGTGCATGTGTATGTGCATGTGATGATGAAGCTTGATGGGATGCACAAGGATCAACATTTTTAGACTTGGTGGCATTTTGTGCATTATAACAAAAATTAGTAAGATAGCCTTTACGGTCGTAAATAGTACACTTGTAAATTTTGTTATACACGTGTGCATAGTGTGTAGAAGACTTGGAAGTTTTTACACGGGACTTTGTACACAAGTCCATAAGCTTATTATTATTAACAATACATGTTTTAAGGGTTGAATCTAAAGATGATATATGATCCTTAACATGATTCAGCTCATCATTATGCATACAAGTATTATTATTAGAAGTAGAGCAACTAGAATCATTTACAAGAATATCCAATTGATTTTTACTAGCTTCTACTTCTAACATGACATTGTTCTTTTCATGAGATAAGCTAGCTATAGATGATATCAAATTTTTATTTTCTAAATTCAATCTATCATTGTTTTCTTTAAGTAAAACATTTTCTTGAGCAATAATATCAAATTTGGAAGCTAACTTCTCATGATCGAATTTAAGTTCTACATGCTTGCTTTTCAAATCAA